GCGATGGTTGAGCCCAGATGTCAAACTTTATTCCTATTTTCAACCTTGACAAAAGCAGCGCAGACCAGATCCACTCCTTCTGCTCTTACCTTTCACAATAAAAGCCCTCGACATATGTACAGTGTTACCTGTTTACCAGAGGGAACGCTGAGCTTTTCACTAGAAGGAAACTCAATAAAATATCTTACAGTACTTTCAGTTATACAACAGTTTACCTCAGACAGAAGCTGCTCTGGGTCAACAGGATGCTGGTAGTTGGTCCTCTGCCTGTGAAACTACTCAAAGCTTTTATTGGAAAAGTACTGCAGATTCACATATACAAAGTTTTTGATGCAAAATATTCCCAGCAGAGTATTTAGCATTTCCGTGTTGTTAATTCTTCGATGTGTAGAGGCCTGAAGACGTCATTCCTGCACGTAGAAACATGTTACTTTTATTTATTCATGTGTTTATTTGATAGAGACAGAGCACTCAGTATAAAATACAACGTGTAAACATGCCGGGGTTAGCAAGAATGCTAATTTAAGTCCATAGCACCCGAGGCAGGTGACAAAGACGACATGCAACATGTGCACACAAGTCAAGGTAAGAGATCTATCTTTTTAAAGTGAACACTGAGGTTGTGATGCGCTCAGATGTTCGGTGGGATCGGAGGCTGAGCAGCTGCAGAGTTGCAGCTCTTTCTCCTCTCAGCGTTATTACCATAATTTGTGGTGGGAAAGGAATCGCTCATCAATCAGAAGTGTTGGGAAAGTGACCACGACCAAAGACCCGGGGCCGTTTGTTTGAGCAGCGGTGCTCAGAGGGGTCAGTGTGTGTGTGTGTGTGTGTGTGTGTGTGTTTAGCCATTAATCAAATGGGTTTGAAGAGAGCGAGAGGCGTCACAGCCTTCATCCTCCCCTCGCTCCTCGTCCTCCTTCACGGCCGGTGGCCTTCGCACCCCATCTGACCACGGACCCGAGGCCAAGGTCAGCCCCCCCCCCCCACACACACACACCCCCCACCCCCCACCCCCCCCCCCCGGCCCCCCCCCCCCCTCACTCAACCTCCCTCTTTCTCGCCTCACATTCCCCCCGCCGCGTCCCCTTTGTCCACCTGTTGTCCTGGAGACTCGATTGCCACTGAGACCACCCCTCTGTGTGTGTGTGTGTGTGTGTGTGTGCGTGTGTGAACGCAGGGCAACGAACGCAGGGCAACAAACGCAGGGCAACGAACGCAGGGCAACGAACGCAGGGCAACGAACGCAGGGCAACAAACGCAGGGCAACGTCACGGAAACGAACACGAGGGAATCTGAACTCACGACTTCAGTATTTCAAAGAGTAAATAAACTGAGATATACTCTTCATTTTGTTTTCGACCAGATGTCTGAATCCTTTTTCGGCACCATGTTCTTTTTTCACACAATTAATTTGCAAAATAATGTTTTTTTTTTTTTTTTGTCATGAATACTTTCACAGAGAATGTGAATATAATTTGTAGAAAAAGCGACGGATGAAGGTTGATTTTTCTGAGCTTTGGCACCGTAAATAAAGACATCAACCGATCACGCTGTGTGGAACTGACACATTCAAACCTCACTGTGATGTAACGCCGTCATAGTAAAGAACAGAGTCCGTGTTCTTTATCCAAACTTCATGGCAATCCATCCATTAGTTGATATTTCATATTTAGATATTTCAGTCTGGACCAAAGTGGTATAAATAAATCCACAAACTGTCATAATTACATTTCTGTTTATTTATGGATTTAAAGAAAGGAGGAGAACATGATAACCACGGAGCGTCTGAGCTGCTGGCTAATGTTTCCCTCTGCTTCCCGTCTTTATGCTAAGCTAATCGTCTCGCAGCAGCAGCTTCTACTATTTAAAAATCTAAAATGTAAGTTTATAAACTAACCAACTCATTTGAAAGTGAAAATATGTTGGGTTTTTTGTAAGAAATAAATGTTTTTTGTCGACATGATAGATTATTTTATTGTAGCTGCAAGGATACAAAATGATCGACATTTTCATTTTACTTTCTACAACCAGCTTCTATAAACCGTCTGAATGATTCTCCTGCAGACAGCTGACCAGAGCTCACCTGATTACCTGCCGACACACCTGACCCTCATTCAGCCAATCAGCTTCCTCAGTATAAGTACGCAGCACCACGCCTGCTCCCTGTAACGGTGTCTGGTGTGTTTTCTGTCTCTTCAGACACTCTGGTCTGCCCACAGTCTGGTCTGTTGGTAAAAGCCGTGTTGAGCTCCTGAAACAGTAGAAGTTGAGTCTGAACTGTTGAAACAATATTCACTCGTGGCAGCTAACGCGTGATCGACACTTCTGAGACTGAAAACACTCAAAGGTTGAGAGAAAAGAAAGATTCCCACATTAGAACCACAGTCTTAGTTTGAACTGTTTCTGGAGCCTGAACCGAACCGCACATGAACGTCACAAACCTGGAGTAGTTTAAAAGGAACTACGTGTGCAGAGCTCCGGTCAGAAATGATTCAAGTTTATGAACCAATCAGGACCCTCAGATCTGACTTTAAACAGTGTCTTAATGTTTTTATGCTGTGGATTAAATATTTATACATATTTTAATTTACTTGAATGTTGATCACTTTATCCAGTGTTGTATTTTTCTTAACTCGGCATTAGTCGGTGACCACCAACATCTACACCAAATGAAATTTTGGATTTAATTTAATACACAGTGCTTTATGTGCAGAAATGATCTGAATCCCATCATCTCATTGCCGGAGCACCTGTTGTACAACACCGTGCTCTGCTATGCTATGCTACGCTAAAGCTGTTGAGCTTTCACCCTGGTCATTCCTCCACCTCGGTCGTCCCGTTTCTCCCCCGTCCTGCCGGGGGGGGGGGGGGGGGGCCGGCTGCAGGAATGCGAGGCCGAGAGCTGGGCCCGTCCCAAACCGTCCCAAATGACTGCACACACAAAAAAGGATTTAACTCTTTGTCACAATTGTCCCCTCACACTCCGGCCTGCGAAAAGAAAAAAAAACAACAGCACAAGACTCCCTAAACCAACCCCCTCTCCTCACCCCTCAACCCTGACCCACCCCCTCATTGTACCCCCCCCTCTTCCTCTCCTGACACCGGCCGTGTGCATAAAAGACCCATCAGAAGTATCGCTGGCCACATTTACAAGTGAAAGAGGCCCAATAATGGAGCGGTTAGGGAGAAGAATGAGGAGACAGAGGGGCACTCACAGATGTGGAGGTGGGATGGGGAAGGAGGGGTGGAGCAGCTTCCCATTGTCGCCCCCCCCCCCCCCCGTTACCCCCCTGTTGGAGGGGAGGAAAGAAGCGAGGGCTGGAAGGGGGGGTGAGGAGGTATAGGAGGTGAAAGTGGCTTTTTACCCCCGATTTGGGATGAGGGAGCAGAGGGACGGAAAGAGAGGATGGGGGGTGGAAGTAAAGGGGGAGAAAAAGGAAGACGAAAGTGAAATAAGAGAAATAAAGTGTCTTCTTCTTCTGTCCTCCCTTTACCGTCCTCTCTGATTTCTGTCCAATAGCAGAGAAGAGAAGCTGCTACAGCTGATCTGCTGCAGGGAGCGTGTGAAAACAAGCTCAGAGGTCATAAGAGGGATGTGTGTGTGTGTATGTGTGTGTGTGTGTGTGTGTGTGTGTGTGTGTGTGTGTGTGGTGGTCATCCTGGCATTATTATTATGTGTGTGTGTGTGTGTGTCTCATTGTCCAGGAGGATGGAGACGGCGATACAAGCAGCTGGGGTGAAGAGGCCTCTAAGCTGACCTTCGAATCCCTCCTCTTCCTCACACCGCCTGCGTGGTGGTGGTGGGGGGGGGGGGGGTAATGAAGTCATCACGGGGCAGGATCGTGGATAGATGTGGCATATATTGGGGAGGAGACGGGATGCGGTCAGAGGACGTCACCTTCCAGCAGGTAGCGAGTCGACGAGTTCAGAGTCGAGCAGCTGCTGGTGAAGTTTTGGCCGTTTTTACTGTCGCGGATCAAACGGGTTTGATGTTGAGCAACACAACTTTGAACTTTAAAGTGTTTAGAAGAGGAGCAAAGAGGTGACGGAGCATGACGAGAGACAGAGGATGATGGGAAACACAGACTGAAGCTGCTGTTATGTGATCAGCATTTTACAATCCAGTGAGATTGTACATGAAGTTCTGTAAAGATATAATTTGAATCTTGCATGAAAAACATTTCACTGTGAGAACAGCCAAACCAAGACGTATATATATATTTTGGAGTCATCACCACCAGATGAACACCACTATGGAATAACGCTAAAATACTTTTTCTTCTGTGTAGTCCACCTGAAATGTCCTCACAAACCACAATGCCCCCACAAGCTCCATGGACACACACGCACACACACACACACACACACACACACACACAGAATACTAAAGACCTCTGACACCTGTTCATTGATCAATTTCCTGCTGAAGGAGATAGTGAAGCTGTGTCTGTCACAGAGATCACATCTCGTCCTCTGCTTCCTGTTCAGAGCTGACAAACAGCAGCTCCACTCGTCCTCCATCAGTGAGTGCTGGAGAACAACAACAGGAGACGATACTACACCAGCTCTCAGGCATCAGTCGCTTTTAAGACCTGAAAACATACCAAACGTCAGGTCAGAGGAAAAGCTTTGAAATGATGGAAAGCTGATGATGAAGTGTGTTCAGATGCTCTACCTAAAATATGACTCATCATAGACTGTATATAAGAAGAGGACGTAGTCACCGTGACGTCACCCATTGGTTTGTGGACTGAAGTTTTGAAACCTTGAGTTTGACATTTTGGTCATCGCCATCTTGGTTTTCAAACAAAACTTTTTTATATCTTTTTGTCGAAGCAACAAACTCAACTGCAACTAATGCTTCATTCATTCATGATGCTAAATATGTCTGTTAGCTGTGTAAATATCTACTGTGAGCAGAAACAAACAGAATGATGAAAATCTATCAGACTACTTTAAAATGATCATTTCAATGAAGCGAAGTCAATCAATCACTGGAATCATGTTGTATTGTATTTAATGGACATTTTGTCTCAACAGAACAACAGTGTTGTTGAGCATTTACATTTTATTTTGTCATCACACTGTAGTACAGACACTCAGGCACTTCAGCGGCTGCAACCTGGAAATGTAGTGGTTCATACAACTATGGCAGAACAATTCTATAAATACTCCTGAGAGTGATACGCTCACTGCCAACAACCATATCAGCACGGAGTCTGGTGGGAGTTTACAGTCTTCTTTGTGTACAACGTTCAAGTCTCTGATATATAATAAAAAATAAAACAATAGAAAATATAAAAACTGAAAACAATAGCTGGATGGAAAAAGGGAAAATAAATGTTAAATAGTTGATAAATCTTCTCTTTTGACAACACTGACTGCACAGTGAAGCTACAGACTTCTTCTCTCGTACTGCACCTGTAAATTATATTAAGTTTGATTTTCATTGCATTTTAATTGTCTGACTTGCTGCTGCAGCTCTTCACGCACACATCACATCCTTATAATCATCAGTGAGTTGTAAACAATTCAAACTCGTGGCAATATTTCAGAATTAAAAGCGTTCATTTGGACTCAACACAACCTTCACAAAGGCAGAGTGAGACTCTAGTGCAGCAGGTCCGTTTATCCTCCACAGAAGGAGTAAAGTGCACTTTTCTCTGTGCTGACACACACAGGACTCGTCTTTAAAATACATTCTACATTAAAGACACTAAATACATTGTTTAACAGAGCTCGTCTGAATAGAAATGCACGGAGCTGCAGGTGAACTCTGCTTCACCCGTCCTCTGGTTGGCTAAAGGAAGTCGTCACTGCCCCCTGGTGGCACAGCGGGCAAAGTGCAGAGCAGCAGAAAAACTACTTTCAAGTCAAATCCAGAAGATAAATACTTATGCACGTTGTACTTCTTTAAATACATGTAGTTTTAGTACAACACATGTTATGCTGATACTCTAGAGGACGCTGAGTGAAGCTGATATTTTAATGATTGGGTTCGTATTTAAGGATATGTTTGATTTCTCCCGTCACAAATGGAAACATTCAGACGTATTCAAAGTTTCAATCCCTTTTCTAGTCAAACTCCCAAACTGAAATCTGCAGCTCCAACTGTGGGTGAACTGGGACCGGACCAGTGTGACGAGGTGTCGAGGGGCGAGATCAATAAATACTGAATAAATAAACTGATGGCAGCTGACATATGAAAGTACTAACTGTAGAGTTCATGGAGGAAAGGAGGAGTTGAGGTAGAGCGTCACATGACTCCTGCTTCAGACTCAGGGAATAAACTCTCCTGAGCTCTCAGCCCGACGCGTACCGGCGATGCCTTCAGGGACCTTCTGCATTGACGGCACAAAAGCTGCGTGTTCAATTCCCCCTGAGTGAAGTTGGCTGCTGCTCTGAAACTGATTTGAGATCCGTCTCCTCCTCACTGACTTACCTCCAGAGGGAGTCCCCCCTTCCCCCCCGTCCCCCACTCTCTCTCTTTCAGTCTTTTAAAAACAAGTTCTCTTCCTCGGCTCACAGGAAGAGGTTTATTTTGGCGGGGACGGCCTTGCAGCCGGTGGTGGAGAAGTAGTGTCCCTGCACGGGGGCGTAGGTCATATCTCCGGCCACCGCCTCCACCACGTCGCCGCGGCCGCAGCTGCCCCGCTGACAGAGCTGCGAGCGGACGCAGCGCTCCACGTGACGCCGGCTCAGCGGCAGGAAGGGAACGAAGCGCGTGATGAGCTTCTGACGGAGGATGGAGGACTGGAAGAAACCGCCTGGAGAGAGAAACTACCTTCAGTCTCCTTCATCCCACAGTGATGCAAGAGGCTGTTTGTTTGTTATCCTGCATCTCCAAAATATGAAATATTATATCATCCTGAGACTAAATCCTCAGTCCATAAAATGTCACAAAACTGTGAATATTACACCAAAAGTCCAAAAGATACTATTTGCTTTATATTTAGTTATAGATTTTACCACTATCAACTAGTACTATCCCATTTTGTATCTATTTCATTCATTTAAAACTAGAAAGCATAAAGTGTGGAGACCAACGTGTACCGTTGAACACTCACTCGCTGTGCTGTTGTAAACCGACCGTGCGATGGCTTCCTGGAAGTCCTCCGCTGTGATCTCCTCTCGGTCCCGTCCGGCCTGCCGGCTCTCCAGAGCCTTTCTGTGGATCACCTCCTCTCCTGAGGTGCTGCACCAACACACACACACACAAATCCACCAACATGACCCACTAAATTCTTCTTCATTTCTGTCGTCTATCGACCAGAAATCATGAATATTAGATTTACTTATTTGTGTTTTCATTCAACACGTTGTTCATGTGCTTTGTAGTATCGTTAGGATTTTATCGATACTAGTACTCTTATCGATAGTGTGTGTGTGTGTGTGTGTGTACCTGATGAAGACGTAGATGGCTTTGCGGTAGTTGGTGCGAAACACAACGTGGGAGGGACCCAGGAAGGGTTCCAGGACGTCGATGAGACCCGGAGGCATCTTCTCCATCTCGTCAAACAGGAAGATGGAGCGAGCGCACTCCGTCAGGTTCCCCTGCACCCAACTCTTCAACTCCTCCTGGAAGAAAACAAAGGAGGGAAAACTCAGAGGGCTGCAAACAATAAGCACACATTCTATTCCACCCACCAAATCCTGCGTCTCACGTTTAATCTTTAAAACTGCTTGAATCTGGATTATTGGCCCCTAACTCACCCTGTACTCCTGGACCCGGTCCGGTAAGGGGAAGTGCAGCATGGGAACAAACTGGTGGACGTACGGGCTGCTCATCGCCAAGCCGTACAGGTGGTTTCCCAGCATGGAGCTGACCAGCGTCTTCCCCGTCCCGGAGGAGCCGTGGAAGGACAGCACCAGGGGCCGCTCGGGGCTTTTATTCTGAAGGAACCTCGCCACCTCCTCTGACACAATGTCCTGGGCCAGATGTTGGCCGTACACATTCTTGTAGAGGTCCCACTCCAGGTCTGGTTGTCAGGATATAAGGACAGCGGAGAAGTTGATGTTACCAGCCATCCTCAACAGCTACATGGCTGACTGCTTAAAACGGTTTACACCAAAATAGTCCAGGAAGTGGAACTTAAAGTCCCCTTTGCACAGGAAACCAACAATACTATCCCAGCACGTAGACGTTGTTTGGCTGAGGAACTTGCTTTTAGGTACAAATTAAGTAGTAGTGGAGTAAAAAGTACAATATGTACCTCTGAGATGTAGTACAGTAAAAAGTACAATATGTACCTCTGAGATGTAGAACAGTAAAAAGTACAATATGTACCTCTGAGATGTAGAACAGTAAAAAGTACAATATGTACCTCTGAGATGAAGTACAGTAAAAAGTACAATATGTACCTCTGAGATGTAGAACAGTAAAAAGTACAATATGTACCTCTGAGATGAAGTACAGTAAAAAGTACAATATTTATCTCTGAGATGTAGTACTGTAATGTTTAGCTAACAGCACAGAAGACTTTCTGTGTTTTGCTAGCTAGCATAACAGCTAACTAGCAAAGCAGTGATTACAATAACTGCATTAACTAACTCTCCGTGAACACTGTGCACTAACACGTCAGTCAGCTAACCCTTTATTCAGTGAAATGAAACAACATCACACATGTTGAAGTCACTGAACAAACACATTGCGATACCTTCGCTGTTGTTTTAACCTAGCTAGCTTGCTCGCTAGAAGCAGCAAACTGACGTTAGCTACACATCTCGTCTTACCTTTGATATTCGGCTTAAAGTCGCAGTCGCAGCTGTCTGATATGCTGCAGTAAAGTTTCTGAAAAACGCCACAGACCGGACTACAAAGGTACAAAAACAGCACAGACAGGATGGCCAACATTTTGGCTGTCCGCTGGCAGAGAGAAAAACTGGAGGAACCTTCTCCGCAACGGCGACCGGTCAGTTTGTAGTTTCTCTCCTTCGCGGAAGTCCGTCCACAAACACGTAACGAAGTGACAGAGGTCACTACATTTCCCAGAAAGCATCTGGCATGGGGGCGTTATTTCGTAGGGACACGTTGGAAGATCACAGTCCAGAAAGCAAAGCGGTAAACACAACATCTGGAAAATAAAAGTCACATTTATACACTGGAGCTGGTGAACATGTTCTCTGTAGGGCTGTGCCTCATCCAATCAATGTCAGCAAACATCCCAGAATGATTTAAAGCAAAAACATTAAGGTATCAAACACGCATTACTACTTTATAGTTAAATATTTAACATTTATTCCAACATGAAAAAAGCAGTAAATAACACTTTGATAAACACGTCAGGACATCTTATTATAGTCTCAGTATAATATAATAATATATATATCATATAATAATATACACTATAATATAATAATATATATCATATAATAATAATCTCAGCAGGTGCTTCATGTCTCTCACTCCCTAACTGTCCGTGCTGGATCTGTCCCGTTGTTTTAAAAAGCTAAATGAGTTATTAGCATGACGTCATGCA